AGAAGTGGTGCCTCGGGGCGCGCCCGGGATCCGAACCCGGGCCGCCAGCATCAGAGCGCGCGCACTTAACCGCTAAGCCACGGAGCCGGCCCCTGCTGCTTTAATCTTGAGATTAAGTTGGCTCCTCCCATTCTGCCTCCCACTAAGCACCCCGTGGTGACTGTGGGCCCTTAGCCCAGGAACCACCATTGAATCGTCCTACTGCGGTAGGGGAGGTGGCAGCTGTGAGGAGTGGGTCAGTAGACAGAAGTTGGAGGGTGGCTGCAAAGTGCCGGATCAGCAGCGTTCATTGGGAGTCGTTTCCAGCCCCTGCTGCTACATTCTACCAGGGTGGTTTTCTAGCATCCTGTCCTCTCTCCGTCCTGGCTCCTCCTGGAGCTTTTTAGCTTTCTGGTACCCCTCCTTCCACGTACCTCTCAGCTGCAGGGTCCTCATCTGCCCCAGCTGCACAGCAGCAGGTTGGGAGGGAGGGGAGGAGGGAAGTGGCCCTGTGTCGCAGTGACGGTCGATTCCCCCACAGAACCGGCAGATGAAGCACATTTCAGCTGAGCAGAAAAGGCGCTTCAACATCAAGATGGGCTTTGACACCCTGAACAGTTTGATCTCTAATAATTCCAAGCAGGTGAGTGGCCTGGGGGTGTTGGGTGGGTGAGGGAACCGACAGGACGGCCGAATGCTTCCTGCATCCCCTGTGTCAGCCTTGGTGCCAGGCGGACATGCAGCATCGCTGTGGGCGCTGCTGCTCTGACCAGCCGCCCCTTCCACAGACCAGCCACGCCATCACGCTGCAGAAGACTGTGGAGTACATCACCAAGCTGCAGCAGGAGCGGAGCCAGATGCAGGAGGAAGCCCGGCGGCTGCGGGAGGAGATCGAGGAGCTCAACGCCACCATCATGTGAGGCTAGGGGCTTGGGGGCTCCAGGGCGTGGTCTCGTCCTCACACACGCACATGTCACAGAGGCAGTGGGGCCCTCTGTGGCCTCGTGGCTGACGGCTAGCTCTTTGTTGCAGCACTTCAGCTTTTTGTCATCCTCCTCCTTCCCAGACCTCTCCTCTTGGGCCTGCCGTGCCGACAATGGACTGGCTCTGCCCATTTGGCGCCCAGGGTCCGAATTTGCCGTCAGCTGCTCTGAACTTCTTTTGACTCTCCTGTTGTTTCAGCTCCTGCCAGCAGCTGCTCCCTGCCACGGGAGTCCCTGTCACCCGGCGTCAGTTTGATCACATGAGAGACATGTTTGATGAATATGTGAAAAGCCGGACCTTGCAGAATTGGAAGTTCTGGATTGTATCTTTGGGTTTTCTTTGCTTCTCCCACGCCCCCAACCAATGCACTGAAACAACAGACATTGACACTGTAGTTCCTTTAGAAAGGTTCTCTTTAAATGTTGTCATTGAGTTCATCAGGACAGGCAATGCTAGTTCCTGTCCTGGGAGAGAGGGGCCTGGCCAGGCCTGTGGTGTGGGGTGGCACTGTCCTTGGTGACTGTCCAGGCTTGGGGCTTCCCATGGAGGCAGAACAGGCCAGTGTTGCTCTCTAGGTCTTTGAGAAATAAAGACAATGCTAGAGCCACTTGCAGAGCAATAATGTGGCAAGGAGATGGGATCTAGTCTAACATATTCTGACAGCCAGCCCAGTCCCTGTGACAGTGGGGAGGGGGGTACCACAGGAAACCGGGGCTCACAAAACCACTAAGTGGCAGAGCCTAGATTTGAAAGCAGTTCCCTCCAGGCTGTTTTCTGCATTTGTGCCGCATGGCCTTGAATGCTGTAATGAGGCACGTAACCCTGAGTGCTGGGGTCTGTCTCGGGCCAAGGGCTCCCTGCACTCTGCCTTCCAGATGGCGGCAGGGCCCTTACAGGTGATGGCTCCTGCCTTGTCACTCTCCACCCTCGGAGCAGACAGTCTGCACACGTGGTGGGTCGGCCTCTGCACCGCATCCGTGGGTCTGACAGACTGAGGACACAGTGCAGGAGGAGAGAGCCACCACTGTGTCAGCTCTGACAGGGCAGGGGTTATCTGTGTGCACTCTAATGGTGGTTTTTAAGAGAAGAGATGGCGGACACCAGCTCTGTTTCCCTACTTTGTGTTTTATTGGCTAGCTCTGGTCCTGATCCCTTATCACTGATGGAGCTGGGTGGCAGCGGGGATGAGTCAGAACCTCTTAGTAAAACACCACAGCCCTCATCAGTCTGAGGCCTGGGGACTCTGGGTGCTATCCGGGCTCAGATCAGAGAGAAAACGGATCTCGGGCCTTCGCTAGCAGATTGCCGAAGATGATTTGGGAAACCTGCACAGAATATGATTAAGAGCCAGCACATTTGTGTTTAACACAGAAGACACACATCATCTCTAGACAGATAGCTTCAGTCTGCTGTGTGCCTCTGATATTCTTGCCAATACAGATAAAAACTGTCATGTTCATGTCATTGTACCAGGACCCATTCCAGACCAAAGAAACTTCTCCATCCCTGCCTCCGGCCTGCTCAGTGGTCATCACCTGGGCTCAGTTACAGTTAGAAACATTTTAGATGAATGTAAGGACACACCTTGTCTAGATCTCTCTCTCGACTGTCTGTGTACAATTACTTGCCAGTCCCAAGGGAAGTTGGTCCCCGGCAAGCCCGTAACTTGACTTCATTCTCCCCATGCTCAGTTATGCATTCCCTGGGCCTCCTCCTCGCTTACGTTCTTTAACCTACGTGCCATGCAGTTCAGTATTATCATCAAGCCGCTGTTTGAGTCCTTCAAGGGGATGGTGTCCACCAGCAGCCTGGAAGAACTGCACCGGACAGCACTGTCCTGGCTGGATCAGCACTGCTCCCTACCCATCCTCAGGCCAAGTGAGTGGGGGTTGCATGGGGGTCTTGGGGCCATGGGGGCTTTCCCAACCCCTTCATGCTAGTCCCAGAGAAAGGAGGACCCTTACCTGCAGATTGTGCTGAAGAACACCCAGGCTCCACTGCAAGCAGTCATGCACGCAGGGCCAGGGGCACGAGGGTGATGCTGTGCAGGAGGCCCTGAGCCAGAAATGCCAACTGCGGGGCAGGGATTAGGTCTCCAGCGCTCCCCTCAGCTTCCCACCATCTGTGTGTGTGTCAGTTTGATCAGATCCAGCTCACATTTACTGAGCGTTTGCTCTTCGCCAGGCCCTGTCTCAGGTGCTTTCAGATACATTTTCTTGTTTAATTCTTATGACAACTAACAAAGCTATGCCCATATATTAAGGTTATAGAGGCATCGTAATAGTAAAACAAGTGGACAGGGGCCGGCCCCGTGGCGTAGCAGTTAAGTGCGCATGCTCCGCTGCTGGCGGCCCCGGTTCAGATCCCAGGTGTGCACTGACTCACCTCTTGTCAGGCCATGCTGTGGCGGCGTCCCATATAAAGTGGAGGAAGATAGGCACAGATGTTAGCCCAGGGCCAGTCTTCCTCAGCAAAAAAAACAAGAGGATTGGCATGGATGTTAGCTCAGGGCTGATCTTCCTCACAAAAAAAACAAAAAACAAGTGGACAAGTAGGAACAGCTTAGGGTTCTCTGCCTGCCTACAGGGGAGGAGACAGGGTTCGGAGGGTTATCTTAGAGGCAGAGAGTGGGAGTGCCTGGATCTCATTGTGGAGGCTTTCCTGGTGTCCATCAGTCTAGCTCTGTGCCTCCCACTTTGGCAGGCATGAGAATCACCACGCGAGTTGTATGTATAAGACCGCGTGTACTATCCATTGTGGGGCTCGAAGCTGCCGCGTGTGCCTGTGTCTCCAGGCTAACCCCGCTCCTGTCTTCCAGTGGTGCTGAACACCCTCCGGCATCTGAGCACCACCACCTCCATTCTCACAGACCCGTCCCAGCTGCCAGAGCAGGCGGTAGAGGCTGTCACCCGAATTGGCAAGAGATCGGCGGAGTCTTAGCAATGCTTAGCAGGCACGTGGCTGCATGAGATGCCACGGAGACCCTTCCCTGCCTGTGGAGGGGTGGCTGTGCCCCACGCCTCTCCTGATGCAGAGCCTCAGGACCTCCCTTCGACTCTGCTGGCCCGCTGGGCCGCTCAGAACACCACGCTCAGGTCTGAAGCAGGTTCGGGTCCTGCCGACAGCAATAGCCCATCTTTGGGAACCCCTTGCTGTGAACTCTCACTCAGTGACCTCATTCAATGACCTCTCTTACCCTCGGAGCAGCCCAGACAAAGGGGAGCACCGCCTTGTCCTGTGCTGTTCTGTCCTGCTGGTGTATGTCAGGGCCACGACGCCAGTGTGGGGAGTGGATGGGACAAGAGGGGGCAACGCCTGCTCCTGCAAGTTAGGAGACTTAAGGGTCCTTCCAGTTCCTGTCTTGAGACTTACAGATATTCCCTCCTGTCACATCCTGGGCACTTGTACTGCTCGGAATGACTCCTTGCGCCCGCTCTGGCCCACCCGTGGAGCAGTTGGAAGGCATCTTTCTTCCTTCCCTGACTCGGACTTTGTAGGTAGATCTGGATATCTGCTCAGGCTTATGCACAGGCATAGCCTTCTCCTACTGCACCGGCTGCTGGGGGAGCCCCAGAACGCACGTGTGCAAAAGCCCGTGTGGGTGCCTGTGGGACGAGAAGGAAAGCACAACAGTGCAAAGCTGCTGCTCTGGCTTGGAAACCCTCTCGGGCGATGTTTTAATCTGTCTTGATTTAGTTCCACATGACATTGCAGCATCCACTGGGTCGCTGACTTGAGAATCATGGCGGGGTCTCAGCCCGGGCCTCCTCGGGCGTCCTCACAACACAGCCCTTCCACCCTTGTTCTCCACCTGCTTCCAAGCTGCAGCCACGGACGAGCCAGCTGTGCCTGATGGACGCTTGTGGCCCTTAGGGTGTAGCGTTTGAAAGGCCAGACTCCACGGTGCTGCCGTCAGCCTGGTCCCCTTGTCTGGATTGTTCAGCCGGGAGCCCCAAACCATAGCAGTTCTCAGACCAAAGATGTCATCACACCTGAAGTCTGTCCTGTCTCATATTTGGAGGAAGAAATTGAGTGTTGACAGGCAGAACTCCGAGGTGGCCAGTCTCAGAGCTGTCTCTAGGCGTCTCCCAGATCAGACAGTAAAGAATTATACTCAGATTTGATCAAGGTGGAGGAATATCTGGGGACAGTGGACTGTTTCCGAATGTGGGAATTATAGTTGGTTCAGAGGGAGGTGCAGCAGGAGGGTGGGTCCAGGTCTCACTGCGTCTGCGAGGGTAGCTGCAGGTGGGAGGGTGCTCTCTAACACTCAGGAAGCCCAGCCAAGGGCACCTCCTCCTTGAAAGAATGTGCTTTGAACGTCCTGCTGTGAAGTTCAGAGCCAGCAGGCTTTCCCTTCGACCTCTGTCCTCCCTGCCAGAAATGGAGACTGGGCAGTGCTAGGCAGGCCAGGAGTCTGGGTGGGCTTCGAGGGAGCCGGGGAGCTGTGGGGTGGGGGGTGGCGGGTACCACGGGCTACCTCCTGAAGTTCAGATCCATTCGGAGGCTCCCACTGGTTTGGAAGCCTGCAGAAGGTGCTCAGAGGGCAGCCAGCCCTGCCTCAGCTTTGCTTGATGGAGGACAGAGGGAGGGGTCCTCTCCCTGCTGATGGCCATGCCACAGGTCTGTGACTAGTCGCCTGCTCCGGTGTCTGTGCTTCAGCCCCGTATAAGAGCAGCTTGGCGGCACCCCTCAGTCTCCCCAGAAAACATGTTTACAGACCTTCACATCACTTTTCTGAGGGGCGAGCACGAGGCAAGGCTGGGCCAGTCTACAATTCCCACTGGGAAGCGGTAAGAGAGCCGTCCTTCACCCCTAGGATAAACATGAAGTCGCCCTTCCAAAGGAGAAACGGCTGTGATAAGAACTCTGCTAAGGTCAAAAGAAAAAACACAAAACGTTCCCAGCCGTGAGGGCTTGTGGAGGGTCATGAGCTTGGCTCCTTCCCCAGTTCCTGTGCCTTCGTAAACCGCGTGGATGGCCGCAGTGCTCGGCTCGCCAAGACCTCTCCGAAATCAATAGCTTTCTCCCCACCCTTTTCTGGGAATCATTTTTCTTTAAACTCCGTGGGGTATATAATTGGCCTCTTGCTTTGGCCTACCTCTCCCTCTCTCTCTCTCTTTTGCTGATTTAATGTTCATGATTCTGTTAAATATTTAAGGCCGTTAGGTTGTGTGAGACTTTGAAGGATGTGTGTGCGCGCGCATCCGTCCACGTGCCCCAGCAGACTGTTAACTAGATGCGCGTTCCTCTTTTGAAATCTTTCTTAAATCCATTTCTCTTGGTGCTCAGCATTACCACGGCTGTAGGGCCACAAAGCTGTATCTCTTACTATAGACACGATTGTTTCTTGTCCCGAAGTTTTCTTGTTTTGGAATCTTGCCCAGTGAATCGCGGGAGCCTAGCCTGCACTTCTGTCCTGGGCCAGGGTGTGGGGACCCTGAGGCCACTCAGCCAGCAGCCTCCACTGGACACTGACTGCAGGGCTATGGTTTGTTTACGCTCGTTTCCACCCCCCCTCCTGTCCCTACTCCCATAAAAGAAACTTAAAAATGCTGACACTTTGAAGAATAAGAAAATCATACTGAAAAGAAAAAGAGGCTGTCTGGCACATAAATCTCTGAAAGTGATTCTGTGAAATCTTTCTGTGCCATCGGCTCCTTTCCCATCACTGTTTGCTCTTTCACGATGAGTGAGAAGTGCAGGGACAGAGCAGGCACCACCACAGGGCTTTCTGAAATTGACTGGCCCGTCCCTCCTGTTACACACCAGTTGTCACCCCCTCCGGAGGGCCCTGGCCGGTGGCAGATGGGCCACTTTCTGGCAGTTTTTCACAGCACGAGGGAAGCAGTCCCAATGTGAGAAGTTAGTGTTGATGAAAACACCGGGTCTTGTCAAGGAGAAAGGACTGGGAGGACGGTGAAATCCCCAGCACACTGTGTTCCTGGAACCTCTTCAGGAGGAGAGGTGGTCACTGGTCACCTGTGTGTCCTTGTGTACCCAACCTTCCCCACTTCCTGTCCTTGTGACCTGAGCCCACCTCACCTTTCTCAAGGTCAGACCTGTGGGTTTTTCTGCTCTGGCCAATGGAAATATAAACTTAGAATCTTAAGGGACATGGCACCCCAGGGTGGTGCCATACCCCTCTGTCCGGCCCCAGGTGAAGGGGTGTGGTGGCGAGTGACATCGTTACCTGATCCTGGCACACCCTCCAGCAGGAGGGGTCATACACCTCCTGTCTCCATGTGCAGTCCTGGCGGGCTCCACCCCAGCTTCCCCTCAGTGGGGCTTCCCTTCCTTGTGAGGTGCTGGCCTTCCACCTGGATGAGTCCCAAGGCGGCAGGTTCACCGTTGTTTTCAGCATCACAAGTGTTTACTATCTAGCTGAACAAGAACTCATCAGAGAGGAGCCGGGGCCGTCCTGTGGTCTGTCTGCCCATGGCCAGCAGGCTCGCTCAGTGTGTGGTGGGTGCGGTGCTGTGGACCCAGGCCCTGCACTGGCCGACCTTGCCTCAGGTCAGACCTTTCATCCCACTGGCTCCAGAGGGGCAGGCTTACCACATCGCCTCATCACCCCTCCCTGCTCTCAGCAGTCCCTTCCCCTCTTGTGGTCACCTCAATCCTGAAGCCCCCTATCAAACCTGGGGCGAGTTGGGCCTCTCTCTCCTTTGTCTCTGGCGGGAAGAATCGCCTTTCCCTCCAGACGCCCTCTTCCCGTTCAGCGCTTTGCCGTAGGTGAAACCTGCCCATCACATGTCGAAACCGAGCTTTGCAGTTTTTCCTTGGTCCTGGTCTCCTTGGCGAAGGGAGTTGAGAGAGCCCTGATGTGGGCAGCGCAGGAGCCACTAGGATGCCCGTTGGTCTGTGGTTTGGGATTTGGTGCCCCTGATGCCTTGTATATTAAAGAGGATTTTCACATCTGAACATGGCGGTGGGGTGGGAGGGAGCAAGCTTGGAAGCTCAAAACAAGTTTGTACCATTCAGTAGTCGCCTTGGCCTTGATCCACTCGGCAGGTTTCTGTGATCAGAGTGGTTCCAGCAACAGAGAGAAGCCTTCGGACCCCTGTGTGCACGCACACAGGTCAACTGCCCAATTTTCCTTTCCTACTGAGGACTCGCCTTTCCCGGCTCCCTGCACGGCTATTTCCTTGTTGGGCTTACGAAAATCAGCCTTTGAGTAAGAAAAGGGAACTTTTCATGTTGAATGTTGGCTTTGACTTTGAGTGTGTGTGTGTGCGCGCGTGCACTTGCACAAGCCTGCGTATATGTTTACTTAATGGAATTTTATTTTTGTGAAATTCCTTTCCAATTATTTAGCAAAATTCACCTCCATCTCCCAGTCAAACTTTTGGTTCCACAGTCAACCCTAGGCATCGCTAATTTGAAGAATTCTCCTCTGGGTTTCTGAACAGAGATTGTGCTACTCTCAAGAGCTGAGATTGTGGACGGTTGGGAGAAACTGAAGTTTTATACATTTCCGTGGAGTTTACATCCTGCAGTTAAAAGGCATAAAGGGCTCAGCCCTGGGAGACACAATTCCCGGCTGTGTTTCTCACAGGGAGCTCGAATGCAGCCTCTCCCCATGACGTCCTGCGGTTTCTATATCTGAACCTTTTCACATAGCCTGCAAAAGGATGCTGTATTCATTTGCTTATTTTGTAACACCACAGCTGAAACACCATGTTCTTTTCCTTTTTCAGATTTCAGTTCATTGTGTAAATGGTTCATTTTTTTGTTGTGAGCTTTGATGATTGTGTCAGGGCACTTTTAGGAGACAGTTACTCCTTGTGGTCTGAAAAACAAAACCCAGAAGAGTCTTGTTTGATCAGAGGCTCCCTCAGGCCTGCGTCATCCAGAAGACAGCCCTTTATGCTCCGCAGTCGAGAAGCACGTTTCCACCAGCTGTATTCAACACTACAATGCAGTTTTAAAACTATATTTGCATCCAAGACAATAAAAAGCTGTATTTTTTTGAAAAGCCTGTGATGTGTGGTCTTAAATGCTACCCTCTTGAGCTGTGGAAGAGATGATAAAATGAGACCAGAAGTAATCAAAGTGATGCCCATGACTGCTCCCTCATTCTACCCTTGGAAGGTGTGGGCTCAGCCTGGACTGGAGGTGTTGGGGGTGAGAAAAGAGGCTCAAGGCGGGTGAGGGGTTCTGGAGGTGTGTCCAAAAAGACAGTGGTCCTACAGAGAGGCCTCCACTGAAAGGGCCAAGACAGGTACCCAATATGACAGATCTGCCCGTGAACTCACCGGGCCTGGTGCTCCAGACCTTTCCCAGGAGGACAGAGTTCAGTGGTCCTTGGGCAAACTGCCTGTTTCCTCATCTGGAATTTGGGCAAACAGCACCTGCCCTGTGCACTTCACAGGGTGGTTTTGAAGTTCACATAAAATGGAAGTCAGGGTGCTCAGTAACCCAGGAAGCGCTGTACTTAAGAAAGCGTAGGTTATCATCAGTATGGCCAACACTGGCCCCAGCTGAAAGGATTCTGAGTCGTGGTGGTGGCTCCAGGAGGCTGTGGGCTCCCTGCTCCCTGCTGTGACGCAATATCATAGACGGAAAATGCTGGGAAGTTGACCAGCAGAGGTGTCCCTTTGTTGTGCTGAAAGGATTTTGATTATCTCTGTTTCATTTAGAAGCTTTTTTCTTTTCCATACTGTCTTCCTGTGCTCGCCACTCTCCCACCCCAGCTCCTTGTGCCTGGGCAGGGTGACCCGATGAGATGTGCCGTGCTGTTCCCTTGCAGGCCGCCCGGCCCCTGTGTGGAGCTGCTGGCTTGCTTCAGCAAGCAGCTGCCCAGATCTGTATCTCTTGACTAAAATGCAGTGGGTTGATACACAGGCTCTTGTCTGATCAAACCCCCACGCCTCCGCCAAGGGAAAAAGTTTCATGACGCAAAGCAAGACTTTGGGCCTTGAGAACCAGGGGCCCTAGAGAGAGGTAAGTGGCTCATGAAGAATAAACTCGATTTCCATTGAGCTAATCAACAGGTGTCTGCTTTATTATGTATGGGTTCTTAAAAGATGCTCGGGGCATAATTTCGACAAGGTAGAGGGTGGATAGGCTGGGAAGAGAGGAGCGGAGTGTCTAGAGGGAGTGAAACCAGCACACTGGATCT